TAATGTTTGCTTAAAAACGTTTTTTTACAAAATAAAGTAAAAGTTAGTAATCCTATATTATGCCCTTAAAATGCAGTTTTGAAATTTTACTTCTTTGTGAAATCTAGAAGACGACAGGAGCTTTTCATTGTGTTCTTCAATTAACACTGTAATATGACGTTATTGACATAGAGAAATTCTAAAATACTTTATGGAATCTTAAAGATTGGGGTTACTTTTCTGTGTTACAGTGCTTTGATATGAAGTATTTTATATGCATTCTCTTATGTCTGATACGCTTAAATGTCATAGTACTTCCTCTTTATGTTTCATATGTAAATCTCTAGCTCATATTGAAAACATAAGTATCCACCTTTCTAAGGATATATTTGTAATGGAATAAATAAGTGTATTTAAGATATGAGTGCAGAGATAGTTGTTCTTTTGAGGCTATTTTAATAAATCTCTGTAAGATTTATAAAGATTTTACACACATATTATTTTTCTCTTAGCCACAGACACCAATAATCCCACAGGAAGTTGTTTTGTAAGGGTTGTGGTTTTTCAGTTTCCTATGTAGTTTGCATTAGATAACAATAAGATACATGTAATAGGGTTACATGTTGGGTTCAGCAAGGACAGCAGTTGGAAACTCCACTGGGAAAGAGGTGAGGTTTTTTCACTCCCATAAAGAGTTACAATGTTGGAAACCCACAGGCATAGTTCTACCCTGCCTTATAAGGTTGCTATGATGTTAGGCAGTGAGTTTTGTTTTTTTTTGTTTGGTTCAACCCAAAGATATTCTTGGTTAAATATATTTTAATTCTTAATGTGAATTTCCAGTTTGCCTGCATTTCTCTTTATGCAAATCAGTGGTTTTCAACCTTCCTAATGCCGCCACCCTTTCATACAGTTCCTCGTGTTGTGGTGACGCCCCACCCCCCCCAACCATAAAATTATTTTTGTTGCTACTTCTTCACTGTAATTCTGTTACTGTTATGAATTGGGCAACCCCTGTGAAAGGGTTGTTCGACCCCCAAAGAGGTTGGATCCCACAGGTTGAGAACCACCGATCTACATGATCTAGAGGCGCTATGACCACATTCATATGTAAGCATTAAAAGTTCGTATAACTTGGCTTTTTTTCCTGGTGCTTTGTTAGATAAACTCTGCTTACAGAAGTGATTCTATGACATATTTTTTTCCACTTCTTGTCAAAGCATGTACCCCCCAAAACTATAGGGATAGAGTTATGTTTTAAATTCTTGACAATTGGTGCTTTGTTTACTTTTATATTCATTTAGATATAAATACTAAAATTAAGATATACATACATTCATTGGATATTTGTATTAATTTTAAAACATTATTCTTAATGGATAGAGTCATAAGGTGAAATATTTTTGCTTGATTTTGACTTTTAACTGTGACAAAGGTAGTAAAATTGTTTTCAGACATACTGGAGCCACAACAAATCAATGCAATGTAGCACTTAAATTATATATGGTCAATTGTAAAATTGACAAATGTGAAAAAGAGGAATATTTCTGTGTATTGTAGATAGTGTCTCCAAGTTCAGCTGCTATGAAAGGTGCCATACTTAGTTTTAGTATTGCAGGCAATGACAATTGTACATCTTATTTATTTACTGTATTTAAAAAAGACCATTTTACTGGGGGCTCTTACAGCCCTTAGAACAATCTATACATCAATTGTATCAAGCATATTTGTGCATATTGTGCATATTATTATTTTCTAAACATTTACTTTCTATTGAGCCCTTGGTATCAGCTTCTCTTTTTTCCTTCCCTCCCCCCCACCCTTGTGACCCCTTGATAAGTTATAATTATTATTTTGATATCTTATCATATGGTAAGAATAACATGGATACTGTGAAAAGTCTTCCACAAACACCTGTTAAAATAAAAGGCTGTGTCCCTAAAGTTTTCAAGTTTTATTTGTGCAAAAGAAAATTTTAATCAGAATTCTTAAAAGAATACTTGTCAAAACACAAAAAAAATTACATGTAACAGGATTTGAAAATAGAAATGGCTTTAATCATTTTTTATACAGGGAAAAAAAGGAAGGAGGAAGGGTAAGATTTTGAACTGCAGAACTTTTTTCTCCTATTTTCAATAGCTTTGGGTTATATAATACATGGCACTCTACTTGGGAATCTTGTTGTTCGTGTATAATATAATATATTATGTTAATATTGTCCTATTACTGAATTCTAAAGGGTAGAGCAGTGGTGGTGTGGTGGGTTACCGGTTGGGCTGCTAATCATAGGGTCAGCAATTGGAACCCACTAGCAGCTTGCAAGAGAAAGAGGAGAGTTATACAAGTGGACAGTCTGTTCTTTTTAGTCTGAAGCTCTGCTGAAACCTGTTCACTTTGGGTGATCTGGCTGGTATTAGAAATACTGGTGCCATAGCTTTCATCATCACAGCCACAAATAAACACCACAGTACAACACACTGACAGATAAGTGGTGCTTATGTTGAAAGTGCTATGGGCTATCCAAAGAACAAACAAATCTGTCTTGGAAGATTTACAACCAGAATGCTCCATAGAGGCAATATATGGCAAGATTTCATATCTCATGTACAGTGAACCCTCGTTTATCGCGGTTAATCGGTTCTAGACCCTACTGTGATAAATGAAATTCCGCGAAGTAGGATTCCTTATTTGTAAATCAAATATTTTCGTAGTTAGAGCATAGAGGACATGAAAAAACACCCTTTAGTCACCATTACACTCGTATTACCCAATTTATTAAATGAAAAAGGGAAAATACAGTAAAACATTTTGGACGTTACAATGATCATTTATTATTTATTATATTATTTATGGCATCAAGCGTGTACAGTATGAGCCAATCAGTGGCAGTAATGACAGAGCATGCGCTGTTACACAAAAACCGCGATGGAGTGAAGCTGCGGAAGTCGAAGCGCGAAGTGGCGAGGGTTCACTGTACGTGATTATCAGGAGACCAGTTCTTGGAGGACAAAGGGAGGCACCTGACAAAAGGAATGAACATAGTGGCTTAACAATGGGCTCAAACATAGGCTCTATTGTGAGAATGGTTCAGGACTAGGTAGTATTTTGTTCTGTTGTACATAGTGTTACTAAGAGTCAGTTAGTCAGAACCCACTCAAGGACCCCTAACAATCAGAGTTACAGTCTTGGACATCCCCAGGGGCAGTTCTACTTTGGTCTGTAGGGTCACTATGAGTCTGAATTGACTTGATGGCAGTATTTGGTTTTTGGTTTTGAGTTCTAGACAGAAAACAATCATTTAATGCTTTAAAAATATTACCTTATCTAATATTATTAAGAATTTCTGACATTTGTGAGTTTCACATTTTACAAAGTATTGGTTTAGTGAAATTGGATTGGGGTTCTTTTAATTAAGTCCCTGGTGTTTAGCAAGGTGGTCAGCATCATGGGGTGTTTGTTTAGTGGCCAGTTAGAGTGAGCTACATGTCTCTACTTCCATTTACTCACCACTATAGAATTCAGAAATTCTGGTGCCAAAAATATGCTGTAATATATCTAAATTGAATAGAATGTCAAACTGAAAGGGCAAGCTTTGGCTGAATCAAAATTAACTTCAGCATATACCCTAGTGCAGTGGTTCTCAACCTTCCTAATGCCACAACCCTCATGTTGTGGTGACCCCCAACCAGAAAATTTTTTCTAGATCTAAATGATCTAGAGACGCTATGACTACATTCATATGTAAGCATTAAAAGTTGAGAACCGCTGCCCTAGTGGGACAAATTCAGATAATTTTACTCAAAACATTTACTCATTATCCTTATCTCACACTTAGGAATTGGTGAATATGTACATGTTTAATTCCTTTTTAAAATTTAAACTAAAAAGGACTGATAAAATGATTAGCTCAAGTACTGTCATGAACTGGCTGTCAGTCACAAGCTGCTCTTGCTAAATTTGTATCATTCCTGCAAATATTTTCGGTGTGGAGTAAATTCTTATCTGCTTTCTTAAACAGTACTCCATGTAGAAATATATTCATTCTTTCACTTGCATACTTTTAACTTAAAATTATTTGAGAACTGAGGTTCAGAGTATTGTATTTATTTTAAAGCCAAATAAATCTACCTTGGGGGGGGGGCGGGCGGGAAAGCCTTTCAGGATTCCTGTTTAGATGGAAGGGAGGAGACTGGATAGACCCTTCGGGCTATATAGCTGTCCAGTGGGCCACAGTATTTCAGCACTGGTGGATGTTTCTGACGACCAGAGGCCCTTGTGACCACCTCCTCCTAGATGAAATCAAGATGTGCCTTACAAAAATCATTCTGCTTCTGATAGTGCAACAACGCTCAGAGGTGTGGGCACTGACACTTAGCAAGTTAAGGAGAAAACTGTGGGCTTTTCTAGCCAGTTCTACTTGCCAACAATCAGGTGTAGCTGCTTGAGAAATGGACTTTTTATTATCAGAAAAAGCTTTTGTATTGAGGAACTTTTTCCTCTTGACTATTTCTGCTGGACCACTGATTAAAATATACCTAATATATTAAAAACCACGGAGACTTGCTCGTCAACGGAAATTCTGTCCAGCAAGTTGCACAGTAACCGAGCTCTTCCTTGGATGTAAATGAGAGCGGGGCCCCGCCCACCCCTCGTCGCCCCGCCCCCGCCCCACCAGGCATGCTCAGTGGGCCGGACCGACAGGTTTGCGTGGCCGCCGGAGTTCCCGGCGCCAGCTCGGCTCGCCGACGCCGCGTCTCCTTGCAGCTTCACATTCCTGGGAAGTTCGGCGCGGAAACCCACTTCTGAACCGTCGCCGGGCGCCCCAGGCCGTGAGCGCGACCCAAGGGCCGGGCGCGGCCGAGCGAGAGCTGAGGCCCGACGGCCAGAGCTGGGCGAGGCGGCGCCGGTCCGCGCGCTGGGCGCGGGTGCGGGTGGGGGTGGGGGAAGTCGCCGGGCGGACCCCATCGAGGAGCTGGGTGGGGCGAGGGGGCGGGCAGGCGCTTTCCGGACTTTTGTCCGAGTTGAGTCCCCTCCCTGTGGGCCGGGCTTCTCCGGCAGCGCCCGCCCCCGGCCCCTGCTCGCTGGGGAGAGATGTTTATTTGGGCTCGGGCTTGAGCTGGCGCGCTGACCGGACGCAGTTTCGGGTCCGAGGAGACTCGCTCGGCGCGGGAGGGAGACAAGATGTCCGCCAGAGTCGCGGCCGCCAAGGTGAGCGTTCTGAGCGTCTTCCAGCACCGAGTTGGGAGCCAGCGCCGCCGCCGCTAGCGTCCACTCGTGTCCCCCGCCCTGCTCCCCGCTGTGGTGGCCGGGCGCCGGGGTGGCCGTGAAGGAGGGCTCCCGACGGAAAGGCCGGGCGGCGTCCGAGCGCCGGGCCCCGGCGCAGGCCGGAGTGGGGGAGGGGCGGCGGGCTGGAGCCGGGCGGCGCCCGCCGCGTCCCGGGCAGGTGCATCCCGGCGCCTCTGCTGCTGCTCGGTGCCTGCGGGGCGGCACGCGCAACAGGTCTCGCGCTGGGACCTCCCTTGGTGCCCGAAGTGGACCGCCCGTGACCATACCTGCCTGTGGCTGGCCCGCAGAGGAAGGGTGCCACCTTCCGCCAGCCGGTATCCGCTTTCTGTGGAGGAGTGGTTGGTCCTTGTTGAAACTATGTAGTTTCGATCTGATGTCACGCCCTGCGGTATGTGCCGGCCAGCGATAAGGCATTTAGACACTAAAGACTCAACTTGTATTAAAGTATAACTTTTAAAAATCTGCCTCCTTAACACTCAGATCATTTCATTTGAAGCAAACTTTAAAAGTGGTAGGAAATACGCCAAGTGGACGGTAAAAGGGACTCAGGGTATAAATTAGCAAAGTCCTGTATCTGCTGCGTTCAGCAAAAAAGTACAATAACAGTTTTACCATGTTCTTTTTATAAATTTAATTTACTTATTTATCATTTTATTGGGGGGCTCTGGCAAATCTTATTTACCATCTTCTTGACCTATCTAAGTCAATTTTGTGATGAATTACAAGAGAATCCATCAGGTTGTTATTTAAGTAGTATGGCGGTACTGACAAGTTGCAGCTTTCTCTTTGGTTTTCTGTGTGAAAGATATATTAATAATATCTGGGAGCAGGTATAAAATGGTCCTGAAATTTCTGAATCTTAGCAGGGCTTCAGGTTGGCAAATAGTGGTTACAGTCTTTATGAAAAGTTTCTTTTAAGGGATATGGTATACTTTGTTTAAGAAAAATATTTTGTACTCTTGAATTGAACAATCTAGAGGTAAAAAATTTATTAAAACATTATAAAAGGTGAGAGTGGCGATACCAGGGGGGTAGAGGGAGGGTCGGGTAAAGAGGGGGAAAATGAGCTGATGCCAGGGGCTTCAGTGGAGAGCAAATGTTTTGAGAATGATGAGGGCAATGAATGTACAAATGTGCTTTACACAATTGATGTATATGGATGGATTGTGATAAGAGTTGAATGAGTCCCCAATAAAACGATTAAAAAAAATAACTTAAAAAGTAAAACTTCCATATGGGTGAGGAAAAAAACCAAAAGGAAAATGTTACACTTTTTCTTCTGTTGCTGCTTTTCCTAATGAAAAAACTTTGTTTCAATATTATACATAATAACACTTTGTTCTGGAAGTATGTTCTTTGGTATTTGGCATTGTAAGACAACACAATTAAAAATGAGATATATTAAAGTATTCAGAGGAGCTTTTCCGTAGCAAGATGATTTTGGAGTAATTATCACTCTGAATTATAGTTTCAAATTTCATGGTGTAGTGAAAAGCAGTCAATACCAAATATTGTGTTACAGTGTCATGCATTCTCAAATTTTCACACAAGTGAAATATAAGTTGAAAGTTTATTTTTTAAATGGCTGTGTGATTGGGCCCGCTTGAAATGGCATTAAAAGATAATGGAATTTTTCCACAGAAATTAAGCTTTCGTCGATTAAGACAGGGAGTCTTGCATAGTGGTTACGTTTTTGGCTGCCAACCACAAAATCAGCAGTTTGAAATCACCATCCCTTCTGAAGGAGAAAGACCAGGTTTCTGCTCTTCTAAAGAATTACAGTCTTGGAAACCCACAGGGCAGGCAGGCAGGCAGTTCCACCCTGCCCTAAAAGTTGCTGTGAGTCCAAATCAGCTTGATGGCAGTGAGCTGAGATAAATAATAAAGTGAAAGGGGAAAAAATTCCACTGTTTTGCTAAGTCGTATTTAATTTTTTAAGGTGATTAAAGTGATTACTAAGTGCAAGTATCTATTCACAGTACTTAAATTTGTTACTTTAAAAAATTAACTTCATCCCAGTTTTTTATGAAGTAATTCACTTTGTAATTTGCTTTTTAATGTCCCATCCATGAATATACTTCATTTTTTATAAACATTGCCTTATTGACGGATATTTGAGCTGTTTCTTGTAGTTTGCTATTGTAGTAAGTACTCTTACAGTTTCATAATTCTGGACTTAACATGAATAGTATATTTATACCATATTCTTAAAATGTAATTACTGGGTGAAAGTGTATGTGCATCTAAAATCATGAGGTCTATGTTTTTTTTAAAAAAATTCCATTGCCATTGAGTCTATTCCAATTCATAGCCGCCCAACAGGATATAGTAACTGTCATTGAGTCAATGCCACCTCATAGTGATCCTATAGTACAGGGTAGACCTGCCCTTCTGGAATTCCGAGACAAACTCTTTATGGGAGTAGATCGTCTCGCCTTTCTCCCCACAGGATGTAGTAGGACTGCTCTGTATTGTTTGAGAGGCAGTAAATCTCTACATAAGCGTACTACCGTATCTTTCTCCCAAGGAGTGGCACACAATGTACATTTCCAAGAAAACCATATCTAGGAATAAATGTTGTGTTGGTGAATTATCTGAATTTTAATGAAGGACTTAAAAAATTGTATAAATGAAATGAGACAGTATACGTTCTGGGTGATTGTTGTAAAATGTACCGATTTCCCAGAGTTGGTGCATAAATGTAATAGAAATAGAATTTCAGTGTGCTATTGTAGAAAACTTGACGTATTGATTATATTATTTGAAAAGTGAAAGATGTAGTCAAGAAATTTAGTAAAAGAAAGCTCTACCAAAGAACACCAACATCAGGGTTTGCAGACAGAAACAGTGCCTTCTGAGTCATTTGTCAAACTCGGTGCCAGGGAGGAGGAGTGCCTCCACAATAAACTGCTCCACCCTGACGCGCCCCCCCCCAAAAAAAAAAAAAACCACACCAGGTACAGTGATTTAAAGGAATAGACAGTGGGGCCAGAGTCCAGAAACCTGTATATTTGTAGGCTGTTAGTGTAGATAAAGAATAGTACAGTATGTAAATTAAGTTGTTATCCCCAATTTATGGATTAGGAAATCAAAGCTGAAAATAATTTTCCTAGGTTAGCAAGTGAGAGGGAAAAGTATAAATATATTACTAGATCGATGGGGACAGGATGGCTAAGTAGTGCTGGGACTGTTGACTATCCATGTTTTCTAGCTCATAGTATCTCAGAAACTCAACCTCACTGCCATGGAGTTGATTCTAACTCGGGATCTACGAACAGAGTAGAACTGAGTGGTGAATTTCTGAGACTAACTTTACAGGAGTAGAAAGTCTCATCTTTCTTCCACAGAATGGCTGGTAATTTCAAACTGCTGGCCTTGCTGTTAGCAGCCCAACACATAACCCACTATGCCTCCAAAAAAGATCATTTGAATGGAGTAATTCTAAATGTTTGAAAGAGAACACAAATGAAAAATACTAGAAGAAAATAGAGAATTAAAAATATACTTAAATCAGAAAAGACTGTGTTGGCCACTGAATTTAAAAAGTTAAACAAAAATATTTGTACATATGTAATGTACAGAGATTTTTGTTTACTTAGAATACTCTGATACTCACTTATTCAAAAGTTGAAAAGATCCAGCGACCTGGATTTCAAGCAATTTCACTTGGAGGAAGCAGTAAAATTTAGGATTGTACTTACGTCTTGTACTTAAGATAGTGCTTAAGGTTTTGCTGCATACTTAAATATGTTCTTTTTGCCTTGGTGATAGTATTTTTTTCCCTAAAGTTATCTATAAAGTTATAATGTTGGCATGAAGATTTATTTGGACAGCCTTTTAGAAATAAATTTGTTGCTATATCGTTAGGCAGAATAATGAACCTTTTGAAAGTTAAAAATAGGGAAATAGTTAACTTAATAAAATTAACTACAAAATTACATTTTAGATGGAAGTGGCTGTTATAATGTAGCTTTTAATTTTGCTACTTTGATCAATACATAGTTAAAGATATTAAGTGAAAGCTCATGAGAATTCATTTGCTGTTGTCAGCCAACTTTACATGAACCTCACTGTCATAGAGATTTCTGGGTCACTGTGAGCTGGAGTTGACTTGATGGCAAGTGAGTTTGGTTTGGGGATAAGTTGTGTAATTTCATGCATTAGTAAGAGTTTAGGTGACGGTGTTCAGGCTTTTTTCTGTTAGCATGCTTAGTATTTTAAAACTCATGCTTAAAACTTGAATATATGTAGTTCATGATAATCCTAATTACATTTTAGAACCCTTTTTTTCAGGTGGCACAAATTTGACTCTTTTAAGACATTGTTAAAAAATTCTGGTGTGTTTATGTTTGGAACTTAAAATACTTTAATTTTATATTTAAGGAAGTTTTATGCTGCCCATTGATGTCAGGTAGTGATAATGTAATTTTCATTTAAAAAGAGGGATGGGATCAGTCATCTACACCAGCAAAAGTAGAATGAAAGTGAACTGTAGCCTTAGGACCCTGGTGTAATATATATAGTACTGTTTCCTGTTGGGCTTTAAGGAAAAAGATTAGGTAGTTTGCTTTTTTTTTTTAATCATGGAAACAATGTACTGACTCTCTTACTTGCTTTTTAATTTTTTTCTATTACAACCCAAATGTAAACTCGTTTACAGTTTTGAGAAACAATCATATAAATCAGAAAGATCAACACTGTTAAAGAAAAAGTCTTTAAAATAATTTTTGAGTTAAAAATTAGACAGCCAAATTCTGTTTCTTGACATATCCCTGACATGATAAAGAATTAGTCTACTGAAAGTCCATGAGTCAGCCTGTATATTCATGAGCAGTGCCACCTGGCTGCTCAGTAATAACTCATTCCAGACGCACTTAAGCATTCATGCACTCAATGTGCACTACTGGTTAATTGTAGTAATT